CGGGCGTGCTGCCTGGCGTGGAGCTGCAGCGGAGACCTCTCTGGTCTGGCCGTGCGTATTGCCCGGTTTCACCGCGTACGTGGGGCTTGTGCCGCGGGTGTTCCGGTGCCAGCTGTGTGCGGGCAGCGGTAGGCCAGGTGTCTTCAGACTTTGGCCTTGCTTTGTTTGTCTTATAAACGGCTTGTGGAGCTCCAGTTTAGCCGTCACGTCGGTTTTGTCGGGAGCAGGACAAACGCTCTGTCGGTTTTGTAGGCAGCAGAACAAAGTTTCTGTACGTGGACAGAGCGGTTTTGTCCCATATGGACAGGGGCCGGTGTGCGGTGCTGCACAGGGACATGGTGCATGCGTGAGAGGGGTGGATCAATCCATTCACACCCCGAGTGCACACGTACCTGGAGTGTAAAATCAAGGGACAACGGAGGGGTGACATTGGCTGCCGCGTCACACAAAGCAGCATTTTCTTCTCAGACCTTGCATGGGGAATCAGGGGAGCCTGGTTGCCTTGGAAGACTTGTTTTCATTGCCAGGCTGGAAGTATCTTCGACAGAAACATGCATTCCATAGAGGAAGCAGAAAGGCCATTTCTGTTTATCCTCATTCCCTTTCTCAGTAGCTTGCTAGACCACAGCGGGTCCACGTGCACAGCGGCGGTTCTCTTGCAACAGCCTCGGGGGGACTGTGTGTTAACCCCAGCAGGCAGTGAAGCACCACAGCTGCCTGCCTGCTTGCTTCTTCCCGTGATTGGTGGGACAGGGGAGGAGGAAGGGAGACTAGAATAATGAAAACTCATGGGTTGAGTTAAAAATAGTTTAATAAGCGAAGGAGAAGTAGAAGAAGAGAGAAGGAGAACAAAATTAAATGTGATGCAAAGGCAGTCACTCACCACCTCCCATGGGTAGACCAACGCTGGGCTGGTTCCTGAAACAAAAGATGGACTAACCCACCTAAATCCCATCCTCTCTCTTTTGTTGCTGAGCCTGATGTTAGATGGCATGGAATATCTCTGTGTTTAGTTCAGGTCATCTGCCTGTGTCCCTTCCCAGCCTCCTGTGTGCTTGGGTTCTTCCCTAAAAAACTTCCATAAGTTTTTTTTTTTTTTTTTTTTATTAATCCCAGTTTGGCTGTCTGTGGAGCAACCTCAGGGGACTTTGCAAGCTTGCCAAGTACTTGGGCTTTGTTTACTCTGGAGGGCCTGCCGTGTGGCTTGCTGAGGCCTGTATGCTGTGGTGCTAAGCTTAATGAGCGGTAGCACAGAGGTATTCAGGAAACTTGAGTCCCTGTGTGATGCGCTCGCTCTGGTGAATGCCCTAGGAAGTGTTCACTGACATCTACTGGATTGGGGCTGCAGAGATTTCAGGCACAAACTGTCAAAGGCAGTTGTGGCCTAAGAGATGATACTTTGGTAGTTTTGTTTGCTGGGTGATGTTATTCTGTGCAGCCCTTGTGATGTGACAACAGCTAGGCAGCATGTGAGAATACTCCTCGGTGCTTTTAGCAAATCCTAGCTGTGGATGCTAAGAAGAAATTACAAGCATTGTGCGATTTCAAACAGCTGTTTCATCTCTGGATCTAAGGCTGTGAAGGCTGGACGGACATTCCCGGTGCTCCTGAATGCAGGTCATAAGCTCAGCATGCTGTGCTTGTGGTCTGTGTCCTGTGACCCTGACTGCAGGCTTATCTCTCCAAAACCCTTGCTTTTACAGTGTTGTCACTTGAGTGAGTTGGGCCATCCACGCACTCTCTGAAGGAATGTTTTTAGAGTTGGTTTCTCAGGGTGAGTGATGTAGTGCCTCTGCTGCTAGGGAGCAGCTCTTTTGTTTACCTCTGTTAATAAAGTAATGCTTAACCAAAAATGCTTGGGGTTGGCATTAAGTATGTATTAGGACATATTAGTCCCTTGTGAGGGACTAAGTGCCTAAGGTGATGTGTTTTACTAGCACAGAAGGAAGGCTGGGGTTTGCTCTGTGGTCTTTGTCATACTGTGAGGAAGGGAATGAGGTCTAGGCTGCAGAGTAAATTGAGGAAGGCTGATAAGATAGTAGAACTTCTGTGTCTTCAAGTGATGCAGAAACCTTCTGCTCCGTAATTGACTAGAGAGGAAAACTGTGGTTGGCATAACATCAGGATCTTAATCCATGCAAGAAAGTTTGTCTGCTTGCATGAACATGTGCCTGTGCCAAGGGACTTCCAGATGCAGAGTCTGGCCATTGCTAGGAGCCTGTTTTCTTCTGGTTGTCTTAACCAAAATGAAAAATTGCGTGTTTTCTCAAAGGAGGCATACGTAAGGAGCGCAGGCTCTTGCTTCAAACCATGAAGTGACACGCTGAGTTTGTCAGCTCCTCAGTTTAAGTGTCACACTGACCTGGGGCTGTTGCAGCCAGCTGGTACCTGTGCGTGCAGGTGCCCGTGACTGGGTCCCAGGACACTGATAACAGCTGCAGCTCTGGAGCTGACTTGTCCGCTGTTTACAGAGAGGCTCTGCTCTAGCACTGCTGCACTGAGAACACGGAGCAATGTGCCTGGGTCTTCAGTGGCACTGACAAAAATGCATCACCAATTGCACCAAGGCTTTTCGACCTGCTGGACAAAGGACAGCTGATGTCAGAGGGCTGCGGGTGAGAAACTGCAGAGCTGGACACAGCAGAACATTGACTGTACTCTGCTCTTCAGTGCAGCCCGGTGTGCACCACAAGTGTCTCAGATGCTGTGACTGCCAGCCAAACTGGTAGTATTTGTTGTTACAGGCATTCAGGCTATGGCATCAGGGCAGTGATAGTGAGGTATTTTTAACTGATCTTTTGTACAATGGGAAGTGTTCTGAACATTCACTGGATTTTGACTCTAGATAGAGACTCTCACTGGTCCTCTAATAAAAGTGCTTTGTTACCTGCCCTTCTGCTGCTGAATGCATGAGCACATAGTCTTGAAATACACAGTGCCATAAAGATGAAGAAGGTTTTTTCATGGTAGGTGTTCCTGTTCCTTATGAAAGTAAGTGGTCCTTGTTTGCACAGCCCTCTGAATCTTACCGGTGTAACCACCAGGAGCAGGTGAAATGTTGAAATGCTTGTTTCATCATCACTGCTGTCCTTGATAAGCCTTGTAAACTGTGTCAGCATCTTACTCCCTTATATGGAAAACAAGCTGGATACTGATTTCTGTTTTTACAGATGTTGTAATGGAACATGTTTTTTTAATTTTGTTTCATTGCTGTATAGGAACTCATGGCATTGTGTTTGAAGGACCTGGAAAAGAGAAAAGAGCAAGAACTTGGTAACAGGAGGAGCATAGAACAGGCTGCTAATGATCTGAAGGTAAAGCATGGTTTACTACTCCACCGGATGGTCATTTTCTAAGGAGAGACATTTTGATTTCTTCTGTAGCTATTCAAAGACTCAGGCAGCTCATGCTTCCCAGAAAAAGTGTATATGGTCTGTATCCATCACAACATATTACTATCAAAGGGAGGGAAGAGGGAAGGAATCTCCAAAGGACTGGTCCTCGCTCCCTGATCAGCTGAACATCTCTGGAAGAACAATGTTGAAATTTTTGTGTGGAGAAATAGCAAATAGCCCCAGCTATATATGTTATTCTGGCTTCACTAACATGTTGCATTGCACCAAACTGCATTACTGAATAGTCTGACTTCAGAGCTAAATAAACACACCAGCTTTATTTTCTGTCTTAAGAATGGGAATGTATGCTAAGATCCACCTCATTTATAGAACATGAAATGGCTGTTCCTCTGAGGACCATCTCTAAGCATGAGGGTGCATCTCAGCATGTCTCTGATACTGATGTGTCAGTGAGAGCTGGAGGGAGCTCTGCAGAGGTTTGAGACATGGCGGTTTAATGTATCATTTTGGAGGCTTGCTTTTCCTAGCAGCTCGCTGTCCCTCGCTTCCTTTAAAAGGTTGCGAAGTGTTGCTACTTTAGTTGCTACTACTTGTAGCAGTTAGTACCTGACCCTGTTGCATTCCAGCTGCAAAGGTTATTTTCTGCATAAATAAGCATCGTGGAATCTGCCCTCTGGCTTTTTCTTCCAGGACATGAACAGATAAATCGTGGCTGTACTCCCTTAAGGGGTAAACATCAGCTACCCAAGTGATGAAGCAAATCAATAAAATTAACTGAAATATAACATTGCAAGCCTGGGAGAGAAAAGCCTGCAGTGTATACGGTGTGTTGTGGTGGGGGCAGCACTCTTCTGTTTCGTCTATAGGGACATGCCATTATGAGCAAAAGGCAGCTGTCAGACACAGTGGCTGAGCTCCGGTTACTCCTTGGGGAAGAGGAGGATCTGGCAAAAAAATTCATTGATAAAAAGACTCAGCAAACCCTGGAAGCATATGATCAGCAGGTGGAGTCCTGTCAAGAAAAACTTGCTGCCCTGGAGAGCTTCTCACATAGAATCAGACAAATACAACAGCACAGTGATCCTATTCAGTTGCTGGAGGTGGTATTGTATGGTCTCTTTCTACCTCTTATCCTCATGGTCCCTGGTAAACTGCTTTCATTATCTCCTCTCCTCATACTTCTGTATGTGAGCAGCATCTTTCTCACTGCTTTTTAATTTTCTTTGTGTAGGTATTTTTGTGAACCAGTTTGCTTCCTGATTCTTGAGCTATGAGCTGTTCCTGCTGTGGCATTGTTTTTTTTTTTTTTTTTTTGTGGGTTGGATTTTATTCTTTAGATTGCTTTTAAGACTTAGTGTTTCTATTTTCCCATTGTTGGGATTTCCTACAAAGGGTCCTGTCCAGCTTAAAGTCATTCTCATCTTGGAATGTCCTGGAGGGGCCCTGTTTTAACCATAACTGCTAACTTCTCCATCTCTGGGGTAGCCCCTCTCTCCACTGGCAGGAGGAGCTGATGGGCAGGCTGGGCACAGCAAGGCTTGCCTGTTATGGTCCATACGTTTACCTTCTGGTGAATCTGACCTTGCTCTCTGGTGGGAGCTGGGAGGGAGGAGTCCACTCATGTCGCTGTCTCTGCTAACTGGAGAGTGTGGCTTTCTGCCCTCAGGAGTACATAGAAATGGAGAAGGAAATGCAGGAGCCCAGGCAGCTGTTGGAGCAGTGGCATCCAAATCCTCTCTCATTTGAACATGTGCTGAACTATTATAAGCACTTTGGGACAGCTCTCCAGTCCGTTCTACAGAAACCACTAGAAGCCCGGCTTACAGAAGGTACCTGGGAAGGAGCTGTGAATTTTGCTTTCTCCTGCTTTCCTTTTAAATAAAGTCTGATCTGTATGTAAGAGCAGGAATCTTTACCAGACCATCTGGAGAGAACATCAGCTTCTCAGGCATGGGTGCTGTTCCCTGACAGCACTGGTGTGGTGTTGCTATAGCAGTGGTGATTTAGGAACATAAGACATTTCTCTTTCAACTCTGAAGATGGCCTTTTGTGCCTTGAAGTTTGTGTGATGCTTGTTGAATTACAGGTGAGCAGAGCAACACTGGCTCTCACATTTCACCCAGCTGCCTTTTAATAATCCTTTTCTGAGAGTTGCCACCAAGAACAATGTAGCAGAGTGCTAGGGAAAATGGTCAGACCAGACCTGGAAGGCCACTGCAGCATGTGTA